TTTTCCCGTATTTAGGAGGTCATTTTACGTTGGTGGACGGGAGGTTCTCCCCCAATAAATATACACCCTGTATAAAACGAGTGCAATGTCTACTCTACCGNGGACAAGTGCCGCCCTTGATATCCCCTCAATTACCGCAGTTACTGCGGTGACAATTGCCGCCCTTGATATCGCCTCAATTACCGCAGTGACNTAACGCACCATTGATGTTCATTTTATGAACTCCCTCGAAAACTATCGCGCGCCATCACCCGATCCTCTCATTGGCCTACATTAATTATTTATTATCTAAAAAACGGCTAAAAAAAGATTTTTTTAATTATTTTTCCCGTATTTAGGAGGTCATTTTACGTTGGTGGACGGGAGGTTCTCCCCCAATAAATATACACCCTGTATAAAACGAGTGCAATGTCTACTCTACCGACACTGTTTGACCGACTGCAAGGATGATGTACAAACGTGGATATGGACAACTGTTCTTATGTACAATCGTTCCTTCACTTTTTTNCGACAAGTGCCGCTCTTGATATCGTCTCAATTACCGCAGTGAATCCCACGATAAGTTCCGCCTTTGTTATCGCCTNTGGAGACAAGTGCCGCCCTTGATATCCCCTCAATTACCGCAGTGAATCCCGCGATAAGTGCCGCCTTTGTTATCGCCTTAATTACCACAATGACTGCGGCGACAAGTGCCGCCCTCGATATCGTCTCAATTATCGCAGTCACTGCCGCGACAAGTGCTGCTCTCGATATCACCTCAATTACCGCAGTGACTGCTGCGACAAGTGCCGCTCTTGATATCGCCTCAATTACCGCAGTGACTGTCGCGACAAGTGCCGCTCTCGATATCACCTCAATTACCGCAGTGACTGCGGTGACAAGTGCCGCCCTTGATATCGCCTCAATTACCGCAGTGAATCCCGCGATAAGTCCCGCCTTTTTTATCGCCTTAATTACCGCAATGACTGCGACGACAAGTGCCGCCCTCGATATCGTCTTAATTATCGCAGTGACTGCCGCGACAAGTGCCGCCCTTGTTATCGCCTTAATTACCGCAATGACTGCGGCGACAAGTGCCGCCCTCGATATCGTCTTAATTATCGCAGTGACTGCCGCGACAAGTGCCGCCCTTGTTATCGCCTTAATTACCGCAATGACTGCGGCGACAAGTGCCGCCCTCGATATCGTCTTAATTATCGCAGTGACTGCCGCGACAAGTGCCGCCCTTGTTATCGCCTTAATTACCGCAATGACTGCGGCGACAAGTGCCGCCCTCGATATCGTCTTAATTATCGCAGTGACTGCCGCGACAAGTGCCGCCCTTGTTATCGCCTTAATTACCGCAATGACTGCGGTGACAAGTCCCACCCTTGATATCGCCTCAATTACCGCAGTGACTGCCGCGGCAAGTGCCGCCCTTGTTATCGCCTAAAACACCGCAGCGACTGTCATTACAGGTATCGCCTTCTTTGGTTCCACCAGGACGATAATGGAGGATAATTTACTATAGGTTGTCCATTATGCGGAAATGATCGAAGAGTTGATTAAAAAAAAAAAATCATGATTATTGAAACCAATGAATGAGTCATCTCATTTCCAAAATCGGCGAGTCTCACGCATAAAAAATGCTGTAACATGCGATCTCGCGTCCCAATTTTTTCAAAATTATTGTAGTAAACAAAATCAATACTTACCATCAAGATTCTTCGCATTTTCCCACTCCATTCAATTTATCACACTGTTAACTCACGGCCATTTATTCACGGGTGTTCACCATCTTTCGGTCTTTTACGCACGTCATTTTAAAAAACACTCAATTCTTTAGATATTCTTTTTCAATTTTCCTCATTTCTCACAATCGATTGACAGATAAATTATTATTTTTTCTTACTTCAGAACAACTGAATAGATCCCATCCAAAATCCAAGCAGCTCCAAGTTAAATGGAGACGCTCCGATTGCGTCATCGAAGACCTTGACAAATCGTTAAGAACCTTCAGAATTGTAAAAATCTATGAAACTTGAAGATGAAAGTTTGATGTTTCATTTACGGAAAGATTATAATAATTTCTCGAGCTCGTGAAGTACATTGGAAGAGGAAACAGTAATGAGAGAAGTCCCTTTACTTGATTCGAAAATCTCATAATGTTTTTTCTTTCAAAATTCAATTCATTTCATTTCCGTGAATTTCCCGTACTTCCAGGAAAATGGTTTACTTGAACTAATGAAGCTGATTTAAATCAATGGTTAATGATTTATTCGACCGAATAAATCATACATTTTATTTGATTAAACTATTTTCTGGCTGTACGAATTATCTGGTTTCGTTTACCTCTTTTGTAAACAAATTCAATTCAACTTGAAAACTGCATACGCGCGCCATCTTTCAGCTCTCCTCATTATTTCCGCCATCAATACGAAATTAACGGGAGAATAGCGACTCAACTGTTCTCACACATCTTTCGGCGTGGCTCTAACGCACCATTGATGTTCATTTTATGAACTCCCTCGAAAACTATCGCGCGCCATCACCCGATCCTCTCATTGGCCTACATTAATTATTTATTATCTAAAAAACGGCTAAAAAAAGATTTTTTTTATTATTTTTCCCGTATTTAGGAGGTCATTTTACGTTGGTGGACGGGAGGTTCTCCCCCAATAAATATACACCCTGTATAAAACGAGTGCAATGTCTACTCTACCGACACTGTTTGACCGACTGCAAGGATGATGTACAAACGTGGATATGGACAACTGTTCTTATGTACAATCGTTCCTTCACTTTTTTCACAAGTCTATGGACAATCGTGGATGTACAATCGTGGAAGTACAGACGAAGCCCCCCGGGGTGCTCTTCATGAAACGCTCCCCACTTCACTGAGTTTGTGGCTCCCACTGTTACCCCCACGATAATCGTACTAGGACCCCTATAATTGGACGGGCCATAATTTTTTGTTATCATTCAAGCCGTAAGGCAGTGTCCGTGAATCGCTGCTTACAGCCATTATGATAAAATAATATATTTCGTCATTAGGCCGAATAAAACTTCTCTAGCTCATATTCGTCAGAACAGCTTTTTCGGTCTCATGATGGAAAATTGGATTCCTAATGCAAGTTTAGAGGTAACTCCCAGCTACTGTGGGACTGACCACTCTATTCTCTTAGTTCTGAGAGGTGGAAGATATGTATGTGCGTGGGGATTCACCAAAGTGGGGGTAGCTACGAAGGGAACGACTCATCTGTTTGCCTATTCGCGATCGCAACATAGATGTGGGACCCATCAAGTGGTCCCTATACTAACTACTCTTGGGGGGCAACCAATGAGATCACAGAGAACCTAGTGATCTTATTGATTGATGCCTATCATTGATTCACTTCCAGTGAGTTCATTGGTTGTCCCCCAAGAGTAGTTAGTTTGAAGCCCACTTGGTGGCTCTTACATCTACGTCGCGATCGTGAATACCTAAAAATTGTCCATTCCTCTATTAGGGTACCTGTTAGGGGATGTTTTAGGGTTGAAATATAGAGCATACATACACATATTTTCTAAAAACATCATATTTTCACATTTCATGATATTCTACATCAGTTCCAGGCGAAATTAGATCGTCAAAAGCAACGGTTACAAAGCTTCCATTTGGAAGCAAAAGAAAGGTTAATGAATTTAATAAAATGATATGAAACGATGAATTATATACTACAAAAGCAAATAATGTGCAAACTGATCATTCAGAAGTATATTGTCAATTTATTAGCAAAAAAATATACTATATCAATATAAAAGCAATTTCCCACTGGTTTAGATGTCTCATTCATCTACGAAAAATCGCTCGATTGAACGACCTAACACGTTCAAGTCTCAGCAAGATTCCCTCTTAATCAGGAGGCGGGTTGGTTTTCTCCATAGGGAAACGACGTTTGATTGGCTGCACTTCGTTCATTAGTAACTCATTAATAAAGCATTGGAGATAAAAATTTCATGAGTTTTTGGTCTTCAAATAACTCCCTTGAGCTACCAACAAAATATTTTCTTGCAATGCCTGCATGAAAAATCCACTTTTCTGGGCGTAAAGTGTTTGTTTTCCGTACGACGTGCGTAAAATTCATAGGTCGTGCGTAAAGTAACAATCTCGTTTTGCCCTTTACGCACTCGAAGTTTACTTTATATACGACCTTGATCCTTACGCACTGCGCACAAAAATCCAAACTCGTTGCTTCTACTGCACCCCTGAAAAGTGAATTTGACGGGTACTACCAAAATTAGATGTGTTACACATGCGTGCCAACACATACTATTGTTAAAGAATGTACTATTGTTGAATGCTATGACAGCCTGTAGGCTTAACCTATAGATAATTCTCTGGCATTTTCTTCATTAAGTTTCTTAATGGCAACACTCATGTTTTGAAGGACAGTCAAGGTTGAGGAAAAATCGGATAAACGTCCAAAGAGTAGAAAACAATGCCTATGTGAATTGGATCGTATGAGTAAAATGCAGATTTATAAAATTTCCGTTTGGAAAATATTGGAATCCTCCATGGGATCATTTCAAAGCATTTTTATACAAACTGCTGCTGAATATTTTCATAGTCCTAACCTGGAGTTTACCTTTACGACAAATAACGGTCTACAAAGTGAAGACGAAACGAGTGGAATTGATCTCAAGGGACGTTCCGATGGATCAATTTTTATAGATAAATTTTTTTCTACAATTGAAAAACAATCAGTATATTTCATGACGAGGGACATGGGGTTCCTTATTCGTATGGAGTTGACGTCAAAGCCGAAGGTCAGGACCGGCCAACCTCACGAGTGAAAGACCCCATGGCACTAGTCATGAAAGATGTTTTTCCGTAACAATTTCCACATTCACGGGTTTGGGGAAGGCTCAATCCCCGAACCAGGAAAAGTGAAGACTAGTACGGAAATTTTTTTTTATTATTGAAATACGAACAACATACAAAGAAAATTTCACGAAGGAATACAACGAATGAGACGTACCTCATTATTTAAATGGATGAAGTTAGCAGAAAATTCTTTATCGCAGATAGTTCTGCTCCTTGTATTTACGGATTGTACTTCCAGTTCTTTCGGATGCACCAGTGTTGTTTCCTGAATAGTTTCTCCCTCGAAGTCGTCACAATGTCGTAGGGACGCGTAGACAATGCCGGGAACAACTCCTATCCGATAAGCAGCGGGTCGAAAGTTGGAGCGCGGCTGCATGTAACCACATCCGTCCAGCTGTGCAGAAATTCATGAACAACCTGAGAATTTGTGAAACTCCATGGCCATTGTTGATACCCTAGGACACCTAGCGAACATTTAAATAGGGCTTGGTATATCTTTGGCGTGTTTTTTGTTTTGACACTTCAATTTCAATCCGCAAACTACCACTTCTGTTAGTAGGTATTATTTTGGGTTGTTGGTTGATTTTTCTTATTTGCTCTGTGAAGGTTACATTAGTATTGATCATGATGCGAACCAAAAGCGAAGACGTATCGACTTTCATGCATATTGAACATTAATGAATGTATTTTTTGGGCTGACGACGAAAATCAAATTTATTCCATTTTATTTTAAAATTCAGAACAGTGCCTTTGAAATTATCTAAAAAAACTCCTAATCGAGCAGTTTCGGAATTGTACACAATCAGCCAAGCTCCATTTTGATCTCTGAAGTTAAAGATGTGGATATTGGAATCTTATCAAGGAATTTATTACGCGAGAATTCGCTCATGGTACAGAAAGTAGGTTTGTATGAGAATCCAAAGAATCCGGGATTGAAGTGGAAATAGCAGTGATTTTTTTAGAGTAGGGTAACTGTATCAATGATAGAACAACGAACAAGTTTTATAGTATTTCTCGAGAGTTAGATGTGCCTTTCATATGAGAAGGGTTGATATCAGCTGTATGCTTTCAATTTCCTCCCGCTGTTCAAGTTTCATAATAATCGTAAAATTAGAGGGAAATATAATAACACTGTAGCTTTTCATTTAGAGAGACAAACCGGTAATCTGAAAGTTTTGGATACAAATCCCAGGTGATAGACCACATTTCCCGATAGTGTTCATGTTCAAGATGCACAGCTTTCAAACACTGACCGAAGGGAAAATAAATTGAGAAATGAAAAATTCAAGACAAATTTCAAGAGAATACCCCGAAAAGACAATTGAAGACACAGATTTTTAAAAGAATTTTACCATCGAAATAAATACTCAAAAATCGGGTAACAGTTCAATCTATATTCGAATGAAAAATTCTTACTCACTAATTGGTTTTATATACATCGAATATATTCACATTCATCATGTGAAATTTCTGGCAAAATTCGATTTTAAAAACGAAAGACTTGATTCTCTCACTTCAATCCTCAATTACATCAAAAAATAGTTCAGCCATTGGAAAACAATGAGATAATAGGTAGTATATATCCCTGAAAGCTACAATTTCAACTTACATCAGTATTCACATTAATGCACTCCGCCTCCGGATCTGGTCTCATGATAGTAATCTCTCTATCACAGTCCGGCAGGATATCATAATTAGGCATGGGATGAGTAATAACGTCTGGGTCCTGGAGACAATATCCCAATCGCTCTACAATTGTCGCGAAACTTGGTCTATCCTCTGGCCTAGGATGCCAGCATCTCGCCATGATGCCGTAAACTTGATCAGGACATCCTGCAGGTTTCTCCAGCCTTCCCCCCGTCGTTACCATCGACATTACTTCCCTATTCGCACAACCAGTGTATGGCATATAACCGAATGACATGATCTCCCACAGCAGCACACCGAACGCCCTGAAATTTGATCATTTTGTTCATTATCTTTCGGCGAGAGTTAAACAAAAAAAAACCGAAGGAGAGCCGGGATTTGGGAAAGGGTTGAGAAGTTCACAATAAGAATAAATGTCACTGTACGCATGGGTAGAGTCACAACAAAATCTTTATATTTCACAATATATACACAAAAGTCAAAAAATATATGTGTTAAATTAAACACTGTCAATTAATAATTGACTGGAGACGCGGTAGAGATTTATCACAATTGAGATGGTCACAATAATCGAAGATCTTAATCGCGGAGATAAAACACGCGGTGTTCACTTGTCGCCATGAGATTCGAGAAGAAGGAGATCTGTCCAGTGTCGCCACAAGTGGCCCTTATGCAAATTAGATTGTAAGAGATTGTAACCCAGGTTCGCGCCCAGAAGGTGCTGCCACTAGCGGCTAACCCACCGCGACATGAGGCTGATTCCTCAAAATTCTCCCCCCATCAGCAACTCTGTTGGTGACCAGATTCTCGAGAAGACCATACTAGGACCTGAAACACTAAGCAGAGAGATTAACTGTGCCAACAGAGACCAGTGACAGTTCAGCTGTTAGAGATTGGCAATGGAACCAGCTTGGAGATCGGTCTGGTCAACGTTGTCGACGCCGTCCTGATGGTCACAACTCTAGAGAGACCGTCCTTTCCAAGGTGTAGAGCTGTGACACGAGCGAGAGGCCATTTTGTTGGCGGAAACCTCTCATTGGTGAGCAGTACCACAGAGCCGATGCGAATATCGTTGGACGGATAATGCCGATTGGAGATGGACTGGAGCTGCTGCAGGTATCCAGTAGACTACTGCTTCCAGAAGTACTGCAGCCTCTGCTGAATCAGTTGCCATCTAGAGAGCCGTCCAACGTTGAGATCCTCAAGAGAAGGTTCCCGTAGAGTGATTGGAGCTTCTCCAATCAGAAAAATGTCCCGGGGTGAGACACAACACGTCATCAGGGCCTTCTGAGGGCGCCTGTAGAGGTCTGGAGTTGAGAACTGTTTCGACTTGGGTGAGCAGCGTAGAGAGTTCCTCGAACGTCAGAGTAGTATCCCGAACTGTTCGAGCAAGGTGATACTTAACTCACTTGAGCGCTGCTTCCCATTTTCCTCCAAAATGGGGGGTCCCAGGTGGGTTGAAAGACCACTGAATACCGTTCTTGAGAATTACTGCAGAAAGATGCTGGAAGTTCTTTGATCCAGTTGAGAACAACCTCTTGCAGTGACCCCGATGACTCACAAACCTCCGATACGCAGTGATGAACCCATCAGCAGAGTAGTCGGTAACAGTTTCCAGGTGCAGTGCTGACATGGGTATGCAGACGAAAATCACTAACCAAACCTTTTAGGTTTTATGGCCACGCCCCTCCCACGTCTTGATGGGCACTGGTCCAGCATAATCCACACCAGTGTTAGAGAATGCACGTGCCGGAGAGATGCGTGCTAAGGGAAGCTGCCCCATCAGTTGTTGAGCACGCATCAACACACTTGAGAATGAAAGATCTTACTGGTATTCTTCCTCCAATAATCCAGTAAGCCCTTCTGAGATGTGCCAACGTGAGTTGCGTTCCACCATGCTACGTTTGCTGATGAGAAGCCCAAATGAAAAGCTCTGCCAATACGGATTCTTTAGGTATTATCGCTTGATGCTTGCTCTTTGAGTCCAAGGTCGAGAACTTTAACCGTCCTCCTACTCGGAGCACTCCTTGATAGTCGATGAAGGCAGTCAGCTTGGTAAACGGGTGCGATCTTCCCGGTTGTTGATCACGAGAGATGATATTGCACTCGGCCTGTATATGGAAAGCCTGCATGGCTTTAACTCAATACAGCCGAGCTGCCTCGATGCCTTCAGGACTTAGTGGATGAGGTAGAGATTTGCTAAGTTTTTTCCTCATCCTGGCGACAACACGTAGACAAATTGCTGTGATACGCAGCAACTTGTAGAAAGAGGAGTGTTGAGTGATGAGCTCCCAGAGAGAAGATCCAGTCGAGAACGTAGTGAATACTGAGCCGGGCTTCTTTTTCAAGTTCACTGACGGATCTAATCTCGCACTTTTGTTTGGCCACTGAGAAGAGTTCAACTGTAGCCATCTTGGACCTGTCCACCACAACTTGTGAGCATTGAGTTGAGCCACAATAATACCCCAAGATGCACAATCAGCAGGATTCTCCTTACCGCTGATATATCTCCAGTTCGCTCCTTCTACCAGTTCCTGTGTGCTAGCTACCCTGTTATGCACATATTCCTTCCACCGAGAGGGATGACAGCTGATCCACGCCAGGGTAACAGCTGAGCCTGTCCACAGGAACACAGAAACGTTCTCAAGGTTGAGTTATTCACGCACGTACCTCGTGAGTTTGGCTAGCATGACTGCGGCATTGAGTTCAAGACGAGGAATGGTGAGCTGTTTGAGAGGGGCTACCTTACTTTTAGCCATTGCTAAAGAGATGCTGACACCATTCGAGCTTGACACCTTCAAATACACGACCGCAGCCATCGCTAGTTGAGAAGCATCTGAGAACCCGTGTATTTCCGCCTGAGAATCCTTTCTCATTCCGAGCCAACGAGGAATAGAGATCCTTCCGATCTGAGATAGCTCCTCACGAAACTGAGTCCACTTCCTGGCAGTTTCCTGTCGTAGCTCGTCGTCCTAGCCCAACTTCTCCAGGCAGAGACGCTGGAGGATGGCTTTCGCCTTGAGCACCACAGGAGATAATAACCCGAGAGGGTCGAACAACTGAGCTATCTCGGAGAGAATATTCCTCTTCGTCATCTTTGAATTGGCTGGAAGGTGGATCGAGAATTTGAGTTGGTCTGTATTCGGATCCCACTTTAGACCATGATTCTTAGTGGTGGAATCCTCTCGTGGCTTCTGATCCTGAGAGACTCGTTCTGAATGCACAGACCGAAGTAGAGAGGGGCTATTCCTATGCCATTTCGCTATGCCATTTCGCTAGAGGAAATCCACCAGCTAAGCAGAGATATATCACTTGCTTAGAGACCTTCAGGAGATGATTCTCTTCTTCAGCACCACTACAGATGTCATCCACATATCATCCGCTGGTCAACGAAGAGATTGCTAGAGAGAAACGATATCCCTCGTCCGCGACCAGTTGATTGAGAACTCTACAGGCTAAGAATGGAGCCGATTTAGTCCCGTAGATCACGGTAGTGAGCTGGTAGGTGCTGATCTGGCCTTGGGAATCTCGCCACAGAATTTGTTGAAGAGGCCAGTCCTCTTGATGCACCTTGATTTGACGGAACGTCTTCGTAATGTCCGTTATGAAAATGTACTTGCTCTTTCTCGACCGGAGAAGTACGTCAGAGATAATCTTCTGCAGTTTAGCTCCAGCATGTTGGATGTCATTGAGTGACACTCCTGAGCTCGTCTTATGGGAACCGTTGAACACTACTTCGGTGTTTCACTACTTTTCACCTCAGCTTCGGTGTTACACTACTTTTCCGGAGAACGCCATGATGAGGAAAGTAGTATGTAGGAGTATGTGAATGGATGAGTTTACTTTGTGTAGAACACCGCTGTGAGACAGGAGTCGACTGCCCTTCCTCAGAGACCCTCAACCCTCCAGAAGCCGAAGCTTCACGTGCTCAGGTTATCTCGTCAGAACGACAACAAAATCTCAAGCCTCCGGCATTCCTTCAATTACATAAGGTCAATAGGTCTCGGCTTCAGAAATTCCGGATCAGCTAGTTTCAGTCTCTTGAGATGGCTCCACGGTTGAGTTTGGATAGAGAACGACAGCAACAAGGTTGTGAGACAGTCAAGAATGTAGGCGTTGATGTCAATTTCTTTTTCTGAGTACAGTAACTTCAGACAGAACTGAGAAAATCCATTGGAGCAGATTCTTGATCTACTGATACCAACGACAGGAAGCAGGGCTGGAGACTTCAACAAGCCCAACTTTACCACGAGATTATAGGCAACAAATGACAATTAAGATCCAGGATCCAGCAGCATTCTGACCTCGCATGAGAATCCGTTCTCTCCAATGAGAGAAGCTACTGCCGTTGCGAGGAGAACACCTGGTCTGAGCTGAGGTGACGCTTCAAGCACTGTAAATGTTGCAAATGGAGAATCACTTGACAGCAATGGCTGTTGAGAAAGTTCTGAGGTTACGGACGTGGCTGACGGTGATGTCGTTGGTCGAGAATTTCACTGCTGAGATGATCCAGGCCTCTGAACAGTATCTCACGAGGTTCAGAGGGTTACACTCAAGACTGAACTGCAGAACTCGTGGCTGTAGAGCTATTCTGAGAACTGCTGATGTGTATCATCGAATGGTGACGTTTGTGGCACACAACGCAGCTCTTGGTAGTCCTGCAGTTTCGCAGCGAGTGCTTGCCCAAGCAGTTGAAGCAGAGATACTTCTTCTCCACAAACTCCTTCTTCTCCGGAGTTAACTGCTTGAACCTCAGACACTTGTCAATATGATGACCATCAGAGCACATGGAGTAGACGTTCTCGCTCATTTCTGCCCACGATTGGGAAGGACCTTGCTCTGATGGGTTCTGAGTACCAGCAGAGACGTTCAGTACTTTTACTGGTTTCGGTTTTTCAGGGTGTTGAGGAGCAGTGGTGGTGGGTTTCACTGGAGTGTGCAGTTCAATTCTCTCCCTCGCTCTTGCTCTGCTCAGGAGTAACTCCTTCAACTCTTCATAGGATGGGAATGTCGTGCTAGCGCCAATCTCAATTTCCCATGCCTCCATCGTCTTAGAGTATAGTCTACTCGAAATCACGTGCACCAGAATGTCATCCCAGTGCTGTACCGGGCGCCCAAACGTTTTCAGGGTGTTCAATGCCTCAGTGGTGCAGTTGAAGAGAGCATTGAACTCCTTGGCCGACCGGTTGACGATCTTGGGAGCACTGAACAACTTCTTCAGCTGGGTAGATATGAGGAGACGTTTATTGTCATATCTGGAGGTGAGCATTTCCTAGGCTGGAATGAAGGAATTGTTAGATACCGG